AAAAAAAAGCAGGGAAAAAAGGGGGGGGGGGGTGGATGCGGGATTCCCAATTAATTTATATTTTTATTATTTGTTTAATTTTTTATGTTTGTGTGTTTTATTTATTAATTGTTTTGATTAATTTTTCAGATATCTTTTTTGGCATGTTTTGGTCCAGATTAAAAAGTTAAAAAAATATTTTTTTAATAAATACTAAGTCTTTAAGTATTTACTGTTGTTTGATAAACACCAAAACAAATACAAAAATCTGAATGGCTGATTGGAAACGTAAATATTTTTGACTTTCTTCTCTGTGAAAGGTTTTCAGATATCTTTTTTGGCATGTTTTGGTCCAGATTAAAAAGTAAAAAAGAAAAAAATGTCATTCATAAATACTAAGTCTTTAAGTATTTAGTGTTGTTTGATAAACACCAAAACTAATACAAAAATCTGAATGGCTGATTGAAAACATGTAAATATTTTTGACTTCCTTCTCTGTGAAAGGTGCATGTCAGGAACAGAAAGTAGTGCAGTCTGCTTTGTTTATATGACATGCTACAGTGCACGTTTATGTGGATGAGAACTTGAAAAGATTTTTGGTTCATTATCAAACTGAGGTGGGACAAATTAGACTATCGCGGGCCACCATAGTTTAAATAATTAATGGAGAACACTGAATTTCTCTGCCACTGGAAATCCATTAAGTGAAACTCCTCATCACATGGTTTCTCATTGAAGTGACTGTGATTTTGTCTTGTACAAAATGATGCTAAGAAATGACAAACATGACTGTGACCTCTGGGTTAATATCACACTCTGGGTTAATATCACACTCTGGGTTAATATCACACTCTGGGTTAAAGGGAAAATAATGTTCTTCCTCTGTCTGCTTGTCTTTCTCTTTCTAGTCTAAATGACTGTGGCATTACAGATGTTGCTTGTTTGGCTCAGTCTTTGGCTAAAACAAAAGCACTGCAGTTTTTAAAAGAGCTTGATCTGAGTAATAATACAATTGGAGACACAAAGCAGCAGCTCATTGACGTGCTACGAGACTCAAACTGTAAACTGAGGTGAGTAAACATTCATTTGTCGCAGTCATGCTAACACCAACAGACAAACATCATGTTTTAAATGTATTATATTTAAAAATATATATTTTTGTTACAGTCTACTTTGTACTAATTAAAATATAGTAACACATTTTCAACTTGTTCCACTCAACACTGGTGTTCTCCTCTGGTTCCTCCTTACAGCCTGGAGAAAGAACATTCGCTCTGGAGAGCTGGTGTGAACATCATTAGTGGATGGTTACCTCGGTCTAAAGCTCAAGAGGATCCTGTGAAATCAACAGAATAAGGGAAGTCACCGTCAGATGAGGAATCCTCAGAAGGTTCTCACTATAGTACTGATATAAATTAATATGTGTGATGGTCATTTTAATTTTGGTCAGATGTTGCTAAACAGAAAGCAATTAATACAAACAATGCCAAACTTACAGCTACTACAGCTTCAAATAGTGCTGCTTTTACAAATCTAAAGTTATTATGCTAGCTATTATATATTACTTTTTTTTAAATGATTACTAAAGCATACAGGTGGAAGAGGATTAGACCTTCAAATGAAATAATGCAGCATTAATAGAAACATACATGTACACATGAGTAATGCTGAATGCTTTATTGTTGGTTTTGTATTTATCTGAATGCTATTTTGCATGTTTTACAGGTGAAACAGAGGAAGGAGAAGAGGCTCATGAGCGCGCAAAACAGCTGGATTAGTAAGAATACAAGTCTATAGTATAAGACCTTCATCATGATGTCAAGATTAAACTCATCCATAATGAAGCAATTAAATTATTGCTGATCATGACTGTGAATGTAATTTAGCACTTATATATCAAATAACATAAACTGAGTCTAAAATGAAAATTAAATTATTATGGGCTACATGTACACAGATTCAAATCAGTGATCTATAACAGAGTCATTTTTAGAGATCAGTGGTCCTGTCGTATTTATATTTCTTTATACCATTGTTTATTTTACATTTATGCATGTTTTACATTGCATTTCTCTTACATTTTATATACAGACTGTTTGTTTAAATGTGTTTTAGTAAGTTCTGTGTCTGTCTCATGAGAAACATGTCTCTGTACATAAGACAAAGCTTTGACTGAAGACAGAGATGTGGATGAATCTGTTCTCTCACACCGGCGCACACTGATCTTTACTAGTTAGAATTTATGTAGCACGTTATGTGCTTTCAATCACTAGATTTTTTTGTTTAGTGATTTTAATCTTCTCTTGTATTGTATTGTAATGTGTTGGCATATTGTAACTATACAAATAAAAAACTTGATCATTTTATTTAGTTTGAAGAGTTTATTAATTCAATAGCCAGCTATCAGTATAATTGGAGATACAGCAGATACCAAGATTTTCCTCTGAAAAAGTCACATCTGCAGTTCCTCGAGATCACCGCTAGAGGTCAACACACCATCACACTGTGAAGTACAAGCAACAGTTTCAGCATGTCACTATTGTGTCCAAACCATAGACTGCATGCTCCAAACTTTGTCCAAACCTTCAGCAGAACTAGTATTTTACAGCTCTGTGTGTGATTGCTTTTCCTGCTGTTTCCTGCTGCTGCTGCTGTTATTATTACACAGAATTCTATGCACATGAATTAGATATATTTACATTAGAAACACTTAATCTAATAATTAACTTATTTAATTGATTCGTAAGTTTGTAATATTGAATTAAGCAAATTATGCATAAATCGAATAACTAGATGTACAATATTTCCAAATAGTTACAAATTTCTCACAAAATAAAATGTACATTTGTTCATTCACACTCTTCCATTCATTTTATTCTGGAACATGTTAGGTTTGCTATAGCGTTTTTATTTCTTAAATATGAATATAAATGTATTATAATGTGTTAGAGTGTTTGTTTGAATGAATATGAAGTGGATGTGTTTTCGCGAGGTTTGTGTTTCAGAGTGTTTGTATGAATGAATGAATATTAAGTGGATGTGTTTCGAGAGGTTTGTGTTTCAGAGTGTTTGTATGAATGAATGAATATTAAGTGGATGTGTTTGCACGAGGTTTGTGTTTCAGAGTGTTTGTATGAATGAATGAATATTAAGTGGATGTGTTTGCACGAGGTTTGTGTTTCAGAGTGTTTGTATGAATGAATGAATATTAAGTGGATGTGTTTCGCAAGGTTTGTGTTTCAGAGTGTTTGTATGAATGAATGAATATTAAGTGGATGTGTTTCGCAAGGTTTGTGTTTCAGAGTGTTTGTATGAATGAATGAATATTAAGTGGATGTGTT